CCCTCCGCACCGCCAAACTCGAAGGTCCCCTTTCAATCTCTCAATCACCCTATTCAATCGCTTCAATCTCGCGACGAAAACTTCTTCTGGGTATCCAATTTCCATGGGAACCACCACGATTCGAGTGTTCTTCGCCTAAAGTACGATTCTGAATTTTGATGGTGTTTACCAAAATTCAAAATCAAATCTATTCTAGATTCCATTGTCTTCGGCATTCAATTATACAGTTTCACTATTCATGTCCATTGATCAAAGAAGTTACTGATGCATAACCGAATTAGAGTTTTCTGAATCAATTGTGTAAATAAAAAAAGAATCCAATTTGGAAATATTTACATGTATTTTATGAAACATCAGAAGGTCTTTTATTATATACGATGAACAAAATCTTTCGACAATAAGAGGTTTGAATACAAATCAAACCCTTAGATCTCTCCGAGGATCATATATATGCCTACGAAATCCATAAAACACTGCATACATATATGTGTGTGTATATGCGTATGTACATATATATATATATATATATAAACACGAAAAAAAAGAGAGGAAAAGGTATATATCTCATCGGTAGGATTTGAGAACGGCGCCGCAGAAACCGCAAACGACAGCTTTCCAAGATCTCCAATAGATGGGGATGAGACAAAACCGGGTGGAAGTGGTCATGTCGGCGATTCTTGCGCCGCCTCCGCAACGCGAGCACGTTCCCGCCGCCGGTTTGCTGCTTCTCATCTTCTTCTTCTGATCCACCAAGAAACAGAAACACACCATCTTTTCTTTTTCAATAATTTCCGACAAGAAGAAGAATTGAAACAAGAACTATGTGAGAACTCAGAGCGACTGGCGATTTTTTAGGTTTATAAATAAATATCCCTAAAGTCTTCAATTGACACGTGTATATATAATATTATTGCTCTCAGATCAGGATTCAGAACTATAAAAACTATAAAAAAGAATTTCACGTACCTACACGTAGGACGCCCATTGAAATACCATTATCTTATAACTCTGATTTTCATACTGCGATTCTGTTTTTATTATATCAAGAGCTTATGGGGTGGACAATTATGCAAAACATAATAGCATAAAACCAAATTAATAAAATGTAGTTTTAAAAATTAAATTCATAAAATTCAAATCACACATTAAAAATTGAAAATCATAAATAAAAGTATTTTTTTTCTAAAAATTGAATTCAAATAAAATTCATTTTTTTTTCTCTTCTTTCACATTTTTCTCATTATTTACCAGTCTAACATTTAAACGAGGGACCGTCCGCCCACACCTTGGGGACTTCGTTATCATGACGTTGCTTAGTGACAAAGAAAATATATATATACATATACATGTATTATGAAGTGTGTGTGTATCTGTTTGCCACGTGGAAAATACAGTTGGAACAATGGAGGTTGAGTCTGCAAATGACAATTTGTATTTTTTTGAAGTTGGGTCGATGGGTCACGTGAAAAAACCCCTCATGAGTCATGCATACAATTTTTATTTATTTCTTTTGCAATTTTTATAATTACGTATATGGCAGTTATTGTCTCGACCGAACGATATAGAATCAACTATATATAGTTCAAATTTTACTAAAAAGTGCAGAAATATCTGAATTAGCACGCTTATATGTTCAAACTGGTCTAATTTATTCGTAAACAAATCTAATATATATACATATATATATATATACACACACACACACGGCATTGGTATCGACTATAATAAACGTATTAAATGAGCATCCACAGTATCCCGACGCAAATGTTGAATTCTAGCGTTTAGGGCTTGTGATTACGTTTGCGTTTTGAATACGGTCTTTGATTTTGGATTTTTGATGGATTAAAATTATTATTTAATTTTAGGGAAATCCCAATAAATACCCTATAATTTTCTCTTGTTCCAATTTAAATTCTGTACCTTTTTTATCAAAAAAATATTATATTTTTAAAAAATATCAAATAAAACCCTGAATAAAAAAATATTATTTAATACAGACATATCATCCTAATCACTTGCCACATCATCAACCCCAAATATTTAATAATATTAATTAATAAAAAATAAAGAAATAATATTAATAAAAATAAATTTTTAAAAATTATACACATTCATAAAAATTATACACATATATAAATATATTTATAAAAATTTAAAAATTATACACATATATAAACATATTTATATACACACACATATATACATAATATATATATCTATATATGTGTATAAATATATGTTTTATATGTACGTGTTATATATGTATTTTTTCCAAAAAATCATTATATATATGTATGATTTTTAGGAAAAAAATCATATATCACACACACATAAAACATATTTATATATACATATAATACATATATATATATATAATATTTTATATGTATGTGTAATATATGTATGTTTTCCTAAAAATCATATATGTCTGCGTGATATATGTATGATTTTTAGGAAAAAAATACATCTATGACACATACATATAAAACATATTTATATATGTATATATATGTATGTATTATATATGTATATATATGTGTATATATAAATATATCTATATATATGTGTATATGAATGTGTATAATTTTTAAATTTTTAATTTTATTAATATTATTTTTTATTAGTTAATATTATAAATATTAGGGGTTGATGATGTGGCAGGTGATTAGGATGTCATGTCAATGTTAAATAATATTTTTTTTAAAGGTATATGGTTTTATTTGCTAATTTTAAAAATACAATATTATTTTAGATAAAAAAATGTATAAGGTTTAAATTGTAATTAAAGAAAAATATAAGGTTTTTATTGGAATTTTTCTAAATTTTGGAGTATCTTAATATGACTCATCGTCGTAACAAGTTGAACACATGCCCGTACGAGAATGACACTTGGGCCAACGATTCTTATCTTATGTCATGTAGCACCAACATTTCAATGTCCTAATCCCATAATAACATTTTTATATATTTGCATGAACCGACAATAAACGATCGAGACAGTCCTAGCAAGATAATATTTGAATTGAAACAGGATGATTTTATAAGCGTAATATTATGCGGAGAACAATAGTGAAAATATAGTTATCGTGCTAGTTTCAATATTAGTTACCAATTAAGGGTAAAGAAATTTATTAGTAGATTCTTTGAATTATATTCACGATTATCGGCAATGAAATAAATACACAAAAAGTATACAAAATAAATTTGAATATTCGAGCAACACTTAAATGCGGTGGATGATTTTCAAGGATATGTCACCGCATGTTTTTGAATATGCGTAATTAAATGCTTAGGATATACATATATATATACACAAATATATAAAATAGTAAAATACAACAAAAATATTATTATTATCTCATCATCGACAACCCTTTGGTTGAACAAAATAAATTCAAAGGTAATTAAATTTGTATTTGTCAATAGTGTAACAATCAAGCATTCAAGAGGATATGGCTAGCATCATCCGCAAAAGAAAAATAAGAGAAAAAATATTGTATGAAAAAATTGTAAATAAAACTCTTGGGAAAAAAATGGATTCTGAACGATGGATTTCAAGTTCATTCGATTCGATACAAATTGTTCGTGTTATTTTTTATTTTAGTTAGCTTAAATTAACACACCGGTTTGTGCTACATTTGTTTTGTACCAAAGAATTCATATCCTATGATAAGAAAATCTCAGATCTTGTCCTAATGCGATTGGTTTCACTATGAAATAACCTTCAAAGTCTTTGTTTATGACTTTGCTAACATCCTGGCGACTTGTATTTAATCAACTTTTACTTTGTTTATGACTTTGCTAACATAGGTTATTTGACAAGTAATATTTTAAAATTACCCAAGCTTGGGTGCCCTACTGGTAAGAGCATGGACAGACCCACGTTGAAATGTATGGGGGGCCATATGCCCCCATTGTTGTGATTAAAATGTATAATTTCTTCATAAATCATATCATATTTTAACTAAATTTAGTAAATGACCCCATAAGAAAATTATGTTTATCATATGAAAAATAAATTTTGGCCACAATTAAAAAGTTTTGCTAGATCCGCTAAGTATGCTCTCACTCTGGATTCAAACCCAAGTGTGGGGAAAAACATTCACCTGGGCTTTCCCGATCCTCTGGAAGATGTAGTCGGACTAAAGGTCCGGTGAATTTCCGGATTATAAAAAAAATATTTCAAAATATCTTTCAACAAAACCCTAAACGCAAATAAACTATAAAATAGGATGTTTAAATTTTATTTTAATTATTTGTTCGGGTGATCCAAACAAAATTTTATTTTTATTTTCAAATCCGTATAAGATAATATTAGAGAGAGAGAGATAGAGAGAGAGAGAAATGGAAATGAATTAAGATAAAAAAGGGTTACTCCGTTAGTTATCTAAAACATGGATTTGTAGTCTATGGACATAATTTTGGGGGCGGGGGAAAAGTCTATGGTAATGGACCGACGAACGTAAGCCTCGGCTTCGGTCTATCTACCAATAGAGCATTTAATAAAAGCCGGAGACTATGCTTTCTGCCTTGTATAATATATATATATATATATATATAAGTATGGTCGTGAAGCTCTTGTCCGTGTGAGTGACGAATGCTAAATAAGGGTTTTCGTCCTTAGGCGCCCGGTTTTTCAACAGCCGGAGAAGGTAACTCGTCGATTTCATATAAGGCTCGTAGTATTTCGCAACTCCATAGCTCCCGAATATCATTCTTGCCACCATCCGATCCATCTCCGCTACAAACTCTGCATATCTGTGCATACAATCACTGCAGAAAGAGACGTTATACTCGGGGAAATATCGAAGAATACGGATGATAAGTACGTACCAGAAACGATCATTTCCTCGGGGCCACATCAAATTATTATTATTATTATCTTAATGGTTGAATTAGATTTATTGGTATCGAAATTAGAATGTGAATATATAACACATATGTAACCTGAAAATAAAAATTTAGGGGAAAACAGATTTATTCAATTATTTTGGTGTTAGTATTTTTAAGAAAAAATACCTTAAACATGAATAAAATAAAATAAAAACGGTGTAATAATTGAATTAAGTGTAATTGATGATACGAATACTATGCAGTCGCCTGTGCCTCCCTTGACTTTGAAGTTAGAATCATTTTGCCCATTTCTTTAGTGGAATAATAATATTCTTTGGTTACAATTTTTTTATATTCTATAATATTATCACAAGATTTTAACATGTCATGTACATTAATAATTATATTTGTTTTCATAATTATTTGTATCTAATATATGGCCCAAAATATAGAGTAATCATCAATAATTATAAATTGTACGATAAAAAAATTCATAACTTCAACCTCTCTCTAACTTTAACCCGAACATGCAACAAATTGGAGCGTGATATACGAATGTTTTGTCATTTTAGTAATTTAAAAAAAGTTAAAAATAATAAATTTATAGTAAAAAATTCCCTTTTTTTTTTGAAAATGAAGCAATCCAAGTTTTGAATTAAAGTAAGCAAAAGTTAATATAACACGTGTCGGGTTCTATGATTAAGAAAAAATCTAATTAGTGGTTTTGAGTTTGAAGTTCCATGATTTCCGCGAACTGAGGATGCTTCTGTCTCTTTGTCTGGCTTTCACTTTGTGTTTACCAAAATTCAAAATCAAATCTATTCTAGATTCCATTGTCTGTTAAAAACTAAATTTAATTTCAATTTCATATTAAATTTTAGAAAGTATCTCATTCTTTTTGTTTTTGACATTTTCATTTTTTTTCTCAAGCTAAAGATTCTTGATAAAATGAAATGGATAAAGAATAATATATATTATATTAAAACACAGTGCACAGAAAATTCATCGATTTTGATTAAAACATACTGAATTTCTAAATTTTTGACAAAAAACTCATCAACGTTAAACGACGTTAAATAAATGAACGGACGATATGATGTGGTGTATGATTCAACATCTCTTCATCCGTCATATCATATAAGAATTTATTTAAAAAAATAATTTTAATTGAAATTAAAAATAAAAAAGGTAAAAAACAGATAAAAAATAAAAAATAAAACAAAAACATAAAAAATGAAAAAATGAAAAAATGAAAATAGTAACTATAAAATGTACATATATGTATATGTGTATATATATACATATTAATAAATATATACATTTAATATTTACTATTTTATGTATATATATGTTTATATATATATATATATTGTATATTGTATATTGTATATTTTTATTTTTATTATAATTATATTTTATTTTTATAATTATTTTCTATTTTTAAATTAAAGTTTTTTCTGACCTGGCGGATAATGAGGTATTGAGTCATTCACCACGTCAGATCAACCGTTAGTCGATTTAATACCGTTTAACGTCGATGAAATTTTTCTCAAAAATTTATAAATTCAATATTTTTTGTGTCAAAATCGACGAGTTCATATTAAATTTAGAAATTTAAAAAATTCGGTATTAATATGTTAGTTATCTCCAAGTTCGATAATTTTTTTTGTGATTTTTCCTTTAAAATTTATATCCTCGTATCTTTTGATATATATATATATATATATACATATTTAATATTTATTATCAATTTTAAAATTCATATTTGATTATGTTAGAATTACAAAAAATATTCAAAGACATTAACGGATCAAAATGAAGTTTAAAGAAGTTTTTATATTTAGTTTGACAATACCTTCGATAGTATTGACATTTTAGTAATTTTCTTTATTAAACAAGTTACCTTTAATAGCCTAAACATTTTATTTTTTTAAGTACATTCCCACAAAACGTGAAGTTATAAATTTTAGCTAGAACCCCATAAAACACAATTTATTTTTATCGTTCCTTTATACTAAATTAATAAATAAAATTAAATTTTAAACATTTTAGTTTTCATAAATAAAAAAATTAACAGATCCTAATTAGAATTCAAATATTTTTAATAGTCATTTAGTAATATTTTATAATTTTAAAAGGTCCTAATTGGATTTAAAATTTTAATATAGTTGATATCTTCAGTAAAATTAAAGACTATATCTTAACTTGATACCAATTAAAGAATTAAAACGCTTTTTTATATTTTTTCTAAACAAAGAAAAAATATGAATGAGGATATAATGATATTAATGTAGAATTCAGAAAATGAAAACAATTAACTCCATTTACAATTTTCCATATATTAAGGATAATTAACTCCTTATTTCGGAGATTATGTAATTATTTATGTTCATTTTTGCGTTTTGTTAATAAAAGAAAATCAATAGTAACCAGAAACCGACAAAAGAGTGAAAACGGTTTTACCTTTCTTCTTCTTCGTCTTCTTCGGATTTCTACTGCTACTGCACTCCCATAGCTCTCACCATGACGACGACGACGACGACGATCATCCATTTTTTCCTGCACCGCATTGCTAGATTCTTCTCTTTCTTTTTTGGGTTTTGAGATTTGATCTCCAGGGGCCTGTTTGTTTCCCGAGAAAACAGCTCGTTTCCACTCTCCGCTTCTCCGGTTTCTGCTTCTGGTACTGCGATCTCACTCTTCTCTGTTCTTACTGTTTTTCTGTTGAGCTTCAAATTTGAAAAATCGAGCCGATGAGCTCATTGATCTGATGGTTTTTCAGAAGATCAGGCGATCGGAATCGATGGGGAAAGCTACGGGGAGCGGAGATTGGACTCAGATCTACACAATATACGGCATAGAACAATGGCAGACTCTCGTCTTCCTCCTCTTCCACGCCTTCTTCTTCTCCGTCCTATCACTCCTCTTCCTCCTCTACTTCGACCAGCTTTGCCTCTTCCTCAGCTCCCCCTCCTTCGTACTCTCCTTCGGCACGGCGAGGCTAGTCACCGGATTCATCTGCGTCATCACGGCTCTCTCTGCCGTGTGCCTGCTCTTCGCGGCGGCGAACTTTGTCTACTCCGACGTGCCGCTGCGGTACGTGATGGCTCAGACGATGGTGGGATCCGTCGGCGACTGGTCGAGCGTGAAGACAGCGCTCGACCTCGGCTGTGGCCGCGGCATCCTCCTGAATGCGGTGGCTACGCAGCTCAAGAAGACCGGAAGCTCGGGCTGCGTCGTCGGCTTGGACCGCTCCAAACGCACCACTCTCTCCACTCTCCGCACCGCCAAACTCGAAGGTCCCCTTTCAATCTCTCAATCACCCTATTCAATCGCTTCAATCTCGCGACGAAAACTTCTTCTGGGTATCCAATTTCCATGGGAACCACCACGATTCGAGTGTTCTTCGCCTAAAGTACGATTCTGAATTTTGATGAACAGGAGTGCAAGAGTACGTGACGTGCCGTTCGGGGGAGGTGAGGACATTGCCGTTCGGGGACAACTACTTCGACGTGGTGGTGTCGTCGGTGTTCGTCCACACGGTGGGGAAGGAGCACGGCCAAAGGACGGTGGAGGCGGCGGCGGAGCGGATGAGAGTGATCGGAGAGATGGTCAGAGTACTGAAACCCGGCGGAGTATGCGTCGTGTGGGACCTCCTCCACGTCCCCGAGTACGTTCGAAGGCTCCACGAGCTCAAGATGGAAGACATCCACGTCTCGAACCGAGTCACCGCCTTCATGGTCTCTAGCCACATCGTCTCCTTTCGGAAACCGAGTGAACTCGTCGCCGGACCCGGCGAGGTCTGCTTGGACTGGAGATGCTGACGTGTCAATTATTTTTTTTTCCGTGATTTGGTTATTACAAATTAGACTAAGAATATTTTTTTAATATAAAAATCGAACGATTATATTTTCTTAAAACCAAATAATCAAATTACCGAATAAAAGCGCATAAATGCACAAAAAACTGATATATGAAAAAAAGGAGCACAATATTTGTTCCTAGAGTGTTAGACGGCAAAGCATGCAGATCTAAATGCTCAAAACGTAGATGCGTTCATCTACCCGAGGGGTTCATATACGCAAAAGCTATCCCGTCTGTGTTTTTACAAAGTGAACGTCATGCCGTCTCGGTTTATGCTCACACGACCTACGTCAGACCAACCACATGACTCCACGTAAGCGTCCCATAGATGAGGCGCGCCAAACCCAAAAAAGCTCTTCCTCCTCCTATCCTTTTCTCTCTCTTTTCGATTTCTTCGAGCTTCCATCAATGGCGTCTCCATTGTCTTCGTCCATCATTTTCTCTCACAAGCTCTTTCTCCTAACTACTTCTCCGGTCAATGGAAGACTCCTCTTCACCAAACCAAATTTCCGGTCCAATCGAACTGGTGCCGGAGATTTCCGCATGCAATCACATTCAAAGTCCGGGATGGTAGGCGCCAAGGTCGGGTTTGGATTTTTCTTGAACTCCCTCCTTCGTGTTCGATTCTAATGGGATTTCTGGGTTGCATATGGATTATGTCTGTCTGAATTCTAGTACGAGGTCAATCGGAGTTCATGGTTTATGCGTTTTTCTAGGGTAATGTCAGATCAGGGCTTAATTTTCATTGAAAGGGTTTTGTTCACTCTTCTTCAAGCTGTAGCTTTGGGTGCAAGGCTTGATTTAGGGTTAGTGACGATGCTGTTTCTGGGATTTGTCGTTTCGTGATGTGTTCTCAAAATTCTCTGAAAGTTGGTTTTCAGCAGTGCAGGATCTGATATCTTCCTGCCAATTTTCAACCAATTTCGGTCTGAATACTTTCGAAAATGGAGTGAAGAAGAATCTAGAGAGACTCATTGCTACAGTTTTAATATTTGTTCAAGTCTGGTCTCCATTGCCCTTTCCTGGTTTGGATTTGGGGAAGATCTCACCTGCAGAGGCTGTGCTTTATTCTCCTGATACTAAGGTTCCAAGAACAGGGGAACTCGCCCTACGAAGGGCCATTCCCGCAAACGGGAACATGAAGGCGATACAGGTTTCTTCAATATCTTAATTTGTTTGAGAAATGCAATCCATCTAGATGCAGAGTTCATTGATTCCGTTAATGTTTCTCTCACAGGCTTCTTTGGAAGATATATCTTATCTTCTGAGAATCCCTCAAAGAAAGCCTTATGGCACCATGGAGAGTAATGTAAAGAAAGCTCTAAAGGTAAAAACTTCATTTCTTTTTATAAGGTCTATCGATTAGTTAAGAAGATTGATAACTTACTCTTCTCATGGCCCCTTCAAGCCTGGCAGTAGCACCCGGTAAATTTGGTTTCTTGTATAGTTTCACATGTTTTCAAGCCCTCTTTTGTTGATTACCAGATTGCGGTGGACGAAAAGGATTCTATATTGGCCAGTGTACCTGGAGACTTGAAGGATAAGAGTTCGAAATTGTATGCTTCTCTCATTGATGGGAAGGTATGTCAGATAAAAAAACATTATCCCATCTTGGAATCAACGACATGTGTTCTAGGCTTATGCTTTTGGAGGATATCGATATGATTGGATGACAGTAAATTGAGTTTTGGCTCCTTTTGTTTGACAGGGGGGACTTCAAGCACTTCTAAAGTCAATTAAGGATCAAGATCCGGATAAAGTGTCTGTTGGCCTGGCATCTTCACTAGATACTGTTGCAGAACTGGAGTTATTACAGGTATCTGCATTTCTTCTAGCTGAGCTAATCATTTCAGAGTTGATATGGATTATGTAAGGACAAGTTTTACTGACTTTAAGAGTATTTTACCAGGCACCAGGACTCTCGTTTTTGCTCCCCCAACAGTACTTAAACTATCCCAGGTAAGTCTTGGGTGTTCCGGTATTGTTAAGGCTTCTTTTTTAATCTAGGTTGTTAAGATGGAACTTGATTATTCTCGTGGTTGTATTGGAAGCTAACCTAGGCTTGAACGGTGTTTCCCACCTTTGATTTTGTTGCTTCATCGAGTTGCATGTTTGAAATGAGATGTTTAAAACTTCCAGTAAATCTATGCTGCTGCAAAAACCGTAGGTTAGCAGGGAGAGGAACCGTGGAATTCACCATTGAGAAAGGCGATGGTTCGACATTTTCACCTGAATCCGGGGGTGAGCCAAGAAAAAGTGCGACCATTCAGGTGCTATCAAGTTCTTCAATGAGCAAATATATAAAGCTCTTCTTGTATTTAAGCCGCATTCTCTCTAGCTGTTCTTCACGATGTACTACTTCTGTATCGGTTCAGGTTGTTATAGATGGATACTCAGCTCCACTAACTGCCGGCAATTTCGCAAAACTGGTAAGGTATACCTCATTTCAACCTTTGTTAGCTTAAGGAATAAATCTAAACATAGCAGATCAATGTCTCTTCTTCTCTTCATCACCACCTTATACCCGAAGCTTATATTCCTTATCATATTTTCAGGTAACTAGCGGTGCATATGATGGAGCAAAGCTCAACACAGTTAACCAAGCGGTAATCACAGACAATGGAATCGGTAAGGTGGAAAGTTACAGTGTTCCCTTGGAAATAATGCCGTCTGGACAGTTCGAACCACTATACAGAACCCCTCTGAGCGTCCAGGTAAAAGAAATACACAACATTTTATTTCGATTCGAGCAAAATCTATTGAAACCATGAAATGAATTCTCAAACTTTTGCTTTGGGTGGGAAGGACGGGGAATTGCCGGTGCTACCTCTATCCGTTTATGGAGCAGTGGCAATGGCACACAGCGAAGGCTCGGATGAATACTCATCCCCTTACCAATTCTTCTTCTACCTTTACGACAAAAGGAATGTAGGTTTTACACCAACGCCTCTCTATTCATCGGTTCGTATTTTTTCCATTTCACAACTTTTTTCCGCATAGAAAACTAAGGCCCTCTGCCTTGTTCCCCTCTCTTGCAGTCCGGTTTAGGAGGATTGTCTTTCGACGAAGGACAGTTTTCGGTTTTCGGGTATGTGTTTTTACACGTGGTCTTGAATTTTCGACGTGATATTACACGTCTAAGCATCTGGCTTAAGTGAGAGTTTTCGGATTTGGTTCGTGATCTGCAGTTACACAACAGTTGGAAGAGACGTTCTTCAGCAGATCAAGACAGGAGATTTCATCAAATCTGCAAAAATAATTGAAGGACAAGATCGACTTGTTTTGCCAACTGAGAACTGATCAAATCTCTCCCCCTCTCTCTAACCCAGGCTTCAATCATCTTCATTCATTCTTCATTCGTTGGGGCATAATACTTGGTATTGCATGTACAACAAAGAATGAAGAGTGGCACTGTTGCTGAAGTTGGGATCATATTATTACTTGGCTTATACGGCAATGGGCACGAATTGGATGCATGATATCTTCGGATCATTCGATTTCAGATCCCAACAATTCGGGTTTAAGGGTTTTGGGATCCTGTCTGAATCCATCGTCAATTCTATTCATTTCTCGGTGTTTAATTCTGAATATTTGGATAAATGTTAATATTTCGTTTGTGTGAAGTAAGTGATACTTTAATCGAACATGTTAACATTTCAGTTTTCCATGAACTGAGGAGAAAATCTGAAGACTTCCAAAACAGACAGAACCTTAGGAGCGAGTGATACGTTGGATACTTGGCTGAACTTGAGCCATGAGTTCCACAAGATTCGGAATGTTGAGTCCATGGGGCCCCACATTTTAACATTTATTATTTCCATTTTGATATTTTGGTTACGGTTATTATATAACCAGTCACCATACATGTGGTTGGGAGTCTTCCTCATCCGAAAATCTTCCACACAGAATCACACTCCGCGCTCATAGAGAGACCTTTCGTGCGCTTTCTGATCACATCCGTTCACTATCAAAGTCAACGATTTCTAGTCTAACAATAAATCACAGCCGTCAGATTATTATCACACGGATTGCAATCCTACACATTACCGTAGGGGAACAGTGTTTCGTGGTATATGCCGTATCCATATAAAAACTCCTCCTCCTCCCCGTTTTCCGATTTGGAGAAACCGAACGCGACTCAGTTTCAGAACGTGGTGCCGCCGAGTCATCTCGGGGCTTGGATTCCGGTTCCTCTCAGTAAAACTCGGCCATGGCGTCACTTCACACCTCCATTTCTCCTCGTAGCCTACTCTCTCTGTCGAAACCCAGAAAACCCACCTCGATTTCGCCGCCGGTTTTCTCTCCCGCCGCTCAGAAACCACCCCGAACCCAGGTTTTCCCGAGAAACAAACAGATTAGCAGGGTCCCATACGCTGTGGTCCGCGACGAGCTCGATGTGATTCCGGTGCAGAGCGGAGACCGTACGGACCAGCAGGAAGGAGTTGTGGTTGTCGGCGGTGAGGCGGAGAGGGAAGGGAGCGACGCTCAGGTGGCGGGATTCGGCGGCGCTGCGGCGGCGGGCGAGGGAAGGTTGTCGTTTGAAGGGTTTTCTTCATCGGCGGTTGTGACAGATGACGGAGAGGAGAGGAGGAGAGAGAACGAGGAGATGGAGAAGATGATTGATCGGACCATCAACGCTACGATTGTTCTCGCAGCTGGTTCTTACGCCATTACCAAGCTGCTCACCATCGATCATGATTATTGGCATGTGAGTAAATATATACACACACAGCTTGGCTCTTAAGGTGTAGTTTTTTCCACTATTGCATCTTTTGCTGATCAGTTCATTATGGAATTCGCTGCCTTTTGGTGCAAAATCAGTCTTGAACAGATGTAAAGATGGCTTCTTTTGTGCCAAATAGTCGTGATATATACACAATCAAGTGAGCATTTTCTTGGTGAAAAATAAGTTTTTCTCTAATGGTTTAGCTGTAGTCTGACCCATTACGATCTTCTCCGATGATGTTTAAAGAATTTGGTTGAACAAATCCTGCATGAACTCTTCTAGATGTGTGTCTGTTTTCAAATTACATAACAGATTTCCCTCCTATGATGGATATCATCATTCTCTTTAAGCATAGAGCTGTGGATGTTGTATATCACTTGAGTTCAGGTAATGGTTGTTCTTGCCAGGGGTTTGGCACTTACCCTTTTTGTTTGGAACCTGTGTTTTGTGTGCTGGATGATTTTGCATTTGATTTGGAATATCAGTTACTGCTTGATCTGTATTACCGGTCCTTCATGTCGTCGTTTTTGGTTTTCAGGGTTGGACACTATTCGAAATACTAAGATACGCTCCTCAGCATAATTGGACCGCCTACGAAGAGGCATTGAAGAGAAACCCAATTCTTGCCAAGATGGTTATAAGCGGAGTTGTCTATTCCCTTGGTGATTGGATAGCGCAGGTTAAGTTGTTCTTCGACAAAAAACATCGTTAGACACAAAAGATTTGATTTATTGACACGGGTGTCTTGTGCTTCTCTCTGTGCAGTGTTACGAAGGCAAACCTCTGTTTGAATTTGACCGAGCCAGAATGTTGAGATCAGGACTTGTCGGCTTCACTCTCCATGGCTCCTTGTCCCATTTCTACTATCAGTTCTGCGAGGTAACTTAATCTCCTCAACGCATTTTCCCTTCTGTATATTTCCTTCAGGGCCATTACATTTCTTTCATGCCTGCAGGAGCTTTTTCCCTTCCGAGATTGGTGGGTGGTTCCCGTAAAGGTTGCGTTCGATCAAACGGCTTGGTCTGCCATTTGGAACAGTATTTACTTCACGGTTCTTGGTTTCTTGCGGTTTGAATCCCCTATCAGCATTTTCAAAGAGTTGAGGGCAACGTTCTTGCCTATGCTAACCGTGAGAATCTCTCTTCGTCAGTCCTTTTTGTTAGCTCGGTTCATTCTAGATGATTCATAATGGTTTCCCTCAATCTTGAATCGGGAAATAACACGACTTGTGCGTGATTTTTGTGTGTGAAGGCCGGCTGGAAACTGTGGCCATTCGCTCATTTGATCACTTACGGGTTGATCCCTCTTGAACAACGGCTTCTGTGGGTGGACTGCGTGGAACTAATCTGGGTCACGATACTTTCGACGTAAGTAACATATCAAAACCCGTCTTTTTTTTTTGAACATTTCTGAGGATAATAGGCATCCACACTCCAATTGATTTGTTCATCTATTTTGGCATTTGACAATCTCTGGCTGTAACTCTCCTCCTTTGATTCTTCCGTCATGTTCATATGATTGTTCATCTATTATCTCCTCTGACCTTCAGATACTCGAACGAGAAATCGGAAGCCAGAATTTCAGAGGCTGCCATTGATCCCACCTCGAGTTCTACATTCACGGATCCCTCAAAGGTATCTCTATCTGTACACACACACACACATATATATACACACATGCATATGTAACCTCCAATCCAATCACATCCTGGTTGATTCACAAGAACATGGCATCGTCTTTCTTGAACAGGAATAAAGAAACAGATGAAATGAAGTCGGAAGAAGCACTCATGGGTCGGTATTGTTCATCATCACCATCATCAAGTATATACGGTGTATATACAGTACAGAATCGCCAAGAGAATGGCCAGAGAATCTCTGGTTACGGGGCACGGGACGTGTTCATATGGATCTTCGTGTATAACCCGAGAAATCACCAGTGTATAATAATAACATCCACGCAAATACACCGTATAGTTTGTTCTTCTCATACTGTAATCTCTTCGTCATACGTTTTAACGTTACAGTGTTTCTGCAATAAGAGTTTTGAAACATTTGATTCTCCAATGATCCAGTTCTTCTAATGCTCGGTCAAAGTTACCGTTTTTTTTTTGTTCCACTGGTCAATTACACCAAAGGACGAATCTTTATCGAGCAACAACCATGAACCCATGTGATCTTGAATCTCATTCGACGGTCATATAACCATCGATACAGGCCGATGATACATTATATACATAAGATTCAAACTCAGGCGTATGCAGAATATTGCGTAAGATCTGAGAGGATTTCACAAGCTATTCTGCGACGATCAATCTCTGTTCGATTTACCATTCAAACGAAACGAAAACCCACAAATCTTTTCCCAGAAACTACTACAAAAAATCAGGGAAAAAAAAATTAAAAAGAGAAGAGATTATGCAGAGGACATGTTACAGAGTCGACTCGGTGTCGGCCGGAAATTCCACCACCGGAGACTCATACGGCGACTCGGCGGCGTCAAGGCTCGCCGTAAAATCTCTCTGCTTCCCTCACTGGCCCTCCTCATCATCCTCCTCTCTCCGTTTGGAACCAAGTACCCGTGCCGTACGCATCTCGCCGAACCGGGTCGACCCGAACACGTGCAAGAGAACCGTGCTCTGATCCCCGACCCGTTATTCCTCCGGCCGACCCGGTTCGCCCTTTCCGTCGCCGGCGTCTCAAGACCCTCCCTTGGTGGGTTTCGTCTCACGGCCTGCATTCTCTGTTTCTTTGTCGGATTCACCAGGAAATATCGAACATCTCTTGTTAGCTCAATTTGTATGCCGTACGATGAGCAGCTTCTCGGCGGGTTCATGGTTTCTTTTCCTTGTAAAATAATTTGGAGAATTCCGATTTGACTGCAATTTCTTTGAATTTGATTTCAAAAAAAGACAGTATCATATATAATAAGATGGAATGGGAACTTCTGATGCCCGCCTTTGAATATTTGACCAACCCATTTGTCACAAAACTACCTTTTTTTTTTTTGAAGAACCAAAATGGTTGGCAAATGGGAAAACTAGTTGTACCAAAAAAAAAAGGAGCTTTGCCAACTGGTTCTTAGTTGTAAAGTCTTGAGCTTTACGAGTTTGTGTTTCGGTTTGATTCTAACGTTAACCAATCCTCTCTCTTGTCTGTATCTTCCATTTTTTCCCATCTATTTCAAAGAAGCTTATTGAGTGATTGGATCTTAGGATAATAGGCATTGCATGGAATCCCCCAACATTTTGATGGTCGTGATTTGATTGAGAACCGTTTCGAATTTGAGATAATTCAAATGGGTGGAGGAAATTTCTCTACTTTATTGAAGAAATGGAGTATATCGGTATTTATATAACTCAAACATTCTAAACCAAATTTCAAATTAACATATATATATATCTAATGAGTGAGGTCCATAATGGCACATTACATTATATGATCATCATTCTTGGGAGATCCAAGACAAATGGGCTTTCGAGACAACCTGGATATTAGAGGTGAGAGAATGACCCACAACCCGTATTCAATTGTGTGAATATGTATGTATGTATGTATGTATGTATGTATGTATGTATGTATGTATGTATGTATGTATGTATGTATGTATGTATGTATGTATGTATGTATGTATGTATGTATGTATGTATGTATGTATGTATGTATGATTACATTATATGATCATCATTCTTGGGAGATCCAAGACAAATGGGCTTTCGAGACAACCTGGATATTAGAGGTGAGAGAATGACCCACAACCCGTATTCAATTGTGTGAATATGTATGTATGTATGTATGTATGTATGTATGTATGTATGTATGTATGTATGTATGTATGTATGCGAAGGGGACCATCATTTGATTTGTGAACCAACTCATTCCCACACCTCTCGTGTTAGAATTAACTTGATCATAAATGTTCACACACTAATTGTAATATCATCCAAGAATTGCGACTCATTCACTAGATGTTTAATATGTTTTTAAATGGTCATCCCTACCATTTTTTGACACATTTAGTTACAATTTTTTTGTATTAATCGAATGTATAATTTATGCATATTTTAGTGTTTTTTGACCATTTATTTCATGTACAATTTGAAACCCTACTATATGGAATACGTAATATATTTTTGTGTGAAGTATTATAAATATCTTCCTAATATTGTTTGTGCGCATATCTTGTTAATCGCCAACAATCTACATATTTTAATATATTAATTCAAATAAAACACTTATTAAAATCTTCTATATTTTATAATAATATAATAAAAAAAATCATTCATTCAAATTCGCAATTATTTGTTCAGCTAAAATCATATTAATCTATTTGGATTTGAGAGAAATCATTTCAATATTTTCTAAAGTATAATGTCTAGTTTTTGGACCCGTTACTGATATCTCACCTAAAAATATGGTAATCAAATTGTGATGTTGACAATGTATTTAGTGTTGAGTTGGAAAACATATATAATATAATAAAACATGTATTATGATACAATACTATTTCAATTATTCTTCTATCTTTTTTAATTATTCAAGGATTGGTAATGTAAAATTTTTATAATCCTATACAATATAATTTAGTCTCTACATTATTTAATTATAAATACGCAAATTATGTATAATTTAATATAAAAATATCTATCGGAGTACCGCAAGAAAGATATTCAATGTTTCGACTTCCTCAAAAAAACACTTGAAGAAAAAAATTGCAATTTTTTTAAAAGAAATAATAGTATATAAGATAATAACTTAGAAATAATTTAATATAAAAATCATGGAACATTTAGCCTAAAATAAATTTCTTTTTCCAAAATTAAGCACAAATGATATGGAAATTCATGAAAGTTGCTTTGTACTTCTTACCATAAGAGGAATGTAATTAAAGGCGTATTTTAATTTCTTGGTTTACAGATAATGATTCCTTTTGTTGATAGAGAAAGAAACTTTGGTCCATTTTTTTTTTGTATTTTTCTTCTTTCTTCGTTCTCGAGGAACAGAAAAAGCCATTTACATGCATGAAAAGAATTAAATTCCGCGTTTGAAAAATAATTAATTTATCTTTATAAATCAAGGATTATTATAAGATTATAAATTTTAAAAAAAATTATGTGTATGAAAGAAGGATTATAATTATAATTATAATAAATATTAATATATGTTTTATTTATGGAATAGACTTGGCGACGTCAAATCAAAATCAAAATCTATTTCTGAAAAAGAAAATGACACCCACACTCAAACAGAACATATCCGGAAGCTCTTTTAATTAGGAGGTTATTAGTTGAAATCATTATAATTAATCAAGATTAAATCAAAATTACCTTGGAGTTTTTTTGGGCAGAAATATTAGATAATAGATATTCTTAATTGCCAAGTTGCAACTTGCTTTCTTCTATTGAAATGCAGGACATTCGAATTATATAGAAAAGTAAAAAAAAACATTCACTTTAATTTATCTCTTAGTTCTAAATTAATTTTTTTATTGGCATTACGAGACATATTCGATTCTAGAATTCTATTAAAAATAATTTTAAAATTAGTTTTTATATTTAAATTATATATCATTAATTTTATTTAAAATCTAATTTGAATATGATTAATTATTATATGTTTTGTTTATATATATATATATATATATATATATATATATTCTAGAATCCTATTTTTCTCCATATTTTTTATTTTTTCCAACGTTTTGGCCACTAAAAAGTTAAGAGGACGAGGATTAATTTATTAGGAGATAAATAAAAAGAAGATAGATATATCACGATCAATGGGACGTGGCCCCTCATTCTTTTGCTTATACGAGTGATTGATATATCATATGCATCCGCACGTACGTACATATATTCTTTTATATACAATATTTTGTTTTATATAATTATATGTTGTATTATATTGATTTCCCAATCAATTATTGGAATTTCTTATCTACAAATTGCATTTGATGCTTATCCTCACCTTCAACCAGCAATTTTCAGAATGCTTCAAAAGCATACTATAATGGAATTATATGTGAAAGTTATGGGCTTGTGATTTTATAGTGGAAAATTAAAAATAAGAAAAAAGGTTTGAATAATATAAATTCTTTAGATGTCAAATGTTAGTTGTTTATATATGTATATAATCAAATGACTTAAACCAAATAACAAGTAATTATATCACAATTAGATTCGATTGGATGTAAAAACTAATTAACTATTATTTTTTAAATTGAATTAATCGAAACCATGTAAATCCAAAAAATATGAAAATTGTCTAACAACCGAATTAAAAATATAAATTTCTTTAAAATATTTTCATGCTACAAATCGAATTGAATAAAAACACAAAAAATAATTAGGTATCAATTTTACAAAATAGACAAATTCAAGTATTATATAATCGAACTAATAAAACTAAATAATTCGCTTTTTAAAACATGAGAATAGGGGAAAAAATCATAACCAACAAAATAAACACCCCTTTAGAACTCCAATTGTTTTTAATGTTAAATAAATCTCGATTCATGGTTTTGTGAAACATTTAAATTAAGAATTCAATGCTTATACGATGAGTGATTTTTCGGCGCGCCATTTATGTGTATTGGAGAGCTACGTCACTTGCATGTTTCACCAAGATCCATAATATATATGAAATAAAATTACATGCACACAACATATATATACGACGTAATTGAGTAGGTAACATAGAAAAAATCACACCAACTTCTACCTCCATGAATACTTCATTTGCATCATTGTTCTACATAACAAAACAAGCAAGTGTATATATATATATATATGCATATATACAAATATATTTATGCATATCTAAGTATATGTTTATACATTTAACCAGTATAAAATTAGGGTTTAACAAAAACAGAGAATATATTTCACCTATACTTCTGTAATATATTGCCTCACCTCTCCAAACTATATGTCTAAATCTCTTTCCCCACTATACCCTATCTAATATCAATCACCAATTATCAATGCCCAAATACCCCAAACGTATAGACAAAATCGAATATAATGCACGTGCGTATATTCCATTGCTAAATCCGAATAATCGAATTCAAGATACTTCCAGATGGATTTTGATTAGGAGTACCAATTCAATCCATGCAGCTGGTACGACGTTCTGTATAACCCTTCGCCTAGCATCCCTTGTTGTGTCATCAACGGCGGTGCCTGCGCCAACATCGATGATATGTTCGAGCACTCGCCGCCGTGAAAACATTTTCCTGGCGACTCATCTGCCGCCACCTCCTCCTCCTCCTCTGCGGCTGCGGTGGGCCAATACGGCGGCGGAATACACTGTTTCACAGTAGTAGTCATCATCGGCAACTCGGGCTTAGACCCGGATGAGGAAGACGCGAGATTCAGACCAACATTAGTGTCACTGTTGTGGTTCATTGTGTCGGTGACATTACCACTGCTGATAACGCTTTCATATAGACTACTTGGGACGTCGTTAACGTTGTCGGAGAATATCCCGAAGTTGGAGACTCTCGCCGGGAAAAAATTCATTCTCCCGGAGACATTTAGACCGGAGGAGATCGACGGAGGGATTTGCCGGAAGATCATCATATCATCAATCATGTCGTCCTTATCGTTATCCACATGTCTCCCTGTGTTGTTCTTCTTGTAGATTCGACACAACACCCAATCATCAAGCTTCAAAGACAAACAACCAAAGGCATTGATTACCCAAAACAAATCAACAACGAAAAACAAGAAAGATCATAATCATTTCGACATTATGTGTATACCCTGAGGGAGTTCTTCTTGTTGCCGAAGTCAAACACAGGAGGTCTGTTGTTGGATTTGTTGTCGGCTAGGCGATATTCATGCATGATCCAGTCGGTTTTCACGCCTTTCGGGGGCTTGCCGCCATAGAAGACCAAGGCCTTCTTCACTCCGACCTTATGGCTTCCTCCAGACGAAAGAATAGGCTTGTCAGTGCCTGTGGCTTTCCAGTAACCGGACGTTGCAGCCCTGTTTGGTCTCGCGCCGTTAGGGTACTTCCTGTCTCGTGGACTGAAGAAGTACCACTCATGCTCCCCAAACGATGCCTTAGCTACAAAACCCACATCCCAAAATTCAAACTTTATTACATCATTTCATAATACATATTATATATATATATATATATATATATA